TGCCTTAGATTAGATCTAGGAAGTTAGTTTGATGTGGTACTTTGTATGAACCTTAATTGCACTAATGGGTTGGAAATAGTGGAGTCCCCAATTTTTTAACCCTGAGGTAGGTTTTTCTGGTCAAAATCAACTTGTGTTTATAGCTACTTAATGCTTGTCGCATATCTCATTATTAGCACATGTTACTTGCATCTTCTGTCTTGCTGATTAATATATGCCTACAACCATGCTCATTCAACGTAATAATAAGTAATGAACAAGACTAGGATATCTTCTAGTAACCTAAGTTGATTTACTTGTACTGTGCTTGGTTGTCTAACGGTCCGATACTTAGCTGACTAGTGATTTTGACTAGTTAGTTTAGCAGACTGTGTTTTTAATTATAGGATATTCCGCCTTGTACCAATTTCAGAGTTGTAGAGAAGAAAAATAGGACAATAGCGAAAATGGCAAAATGTATGTTGCATGAAAAAACTTGCCATATTTCCTGCTGAGTGAAGGTGTTAACACTGCTGTCTACATATTAAATAGATGTCCTACATGAGCGCTTGCTAAGAAAACTCCTTTTGAAGCATTAAGTGGAAGCGAGCCAAGAATTAGGCATTTGAAAGTGTTTGGATGTGTGTGCTATAGCCATATTCCTAATGACTTGAGACATAAGTTACAATAATCATTTGTGAAAGGAATATTTGTTGGATATGGAAAAGCTGAGAAAGGTTACATAATTTACAACCTGGAAACCAAGAAGATAATGTTGTCAATAAGTGTGATTTTTTATGAAAGTGAAATATGAGGCTCGAAGAATGAAGAAATGGGTCCAAGTACTATTCCTGTGAAAATGCAATGTGAAGAAAGACAGAAGTCCATTGCACTAATTGAGATTGCAGAAAACCAAGAGGTTACTTAGTTAGAATGAAGTGCAGTCCATTTCATATATTTCAAGACTCACAAAGTGAATTGGGGGAATCTAGCATAAGTGATTAAACACTAGTGAAGCTGAGAAGCTTGAGTGAAGTCTATGCCAGATGCAACCTTTGTATTGTTGAACCATAAGGTTTTGAAGAAGCAAGTAGGGATGAAGCTTGGTCCCCTTTTTCAATTGATTATATTAAAAAAACAAAATTTGGATTTTTCAGTCACAAAAGCAATTCAGTATATTTTTTTTGTTTTACACCCCGTAATTCTTCCTCAACCAAGCTGGGGTAGAATAGTAGAGCAAGTACAAGTATTAGTAACATAGCAAAAATGCGTTCCTCGTTATTAATATATTTGCTCGCAATAATTATGGCCTCTCGAGCGAATTGATGATTGCATCTTTGATGCACTTGCTAGTACATCTGAGAAATCTTAATTGGATAGTTGTAAATAGCCCCAAATTGTGGAACAAAGGATTATCCCGGACCTACGCCAAGGTATTGATGGTGATTCTCAAATATCACAGAACAGAATGTAATATGATGAGATAGAATCCAATAGAAACAAAGAAACAGAGAACGAGTTATCTACTCTTAACAGTCAAAACAAACCCTTTCATTTCGAATTAAAGGATTCGGAATGAATCAAATCTCCCCAGGTAGGATTCGACCCTACGACTAGTCAATGGATTTAGAGATGATTGAGAAGAATCAAACATGAGAACTTATTGATAAACCTGCTAAGAAACATGTAGTGGGTGTCAAATGGGCATTCAAGACCTAACTCAACATAGATGGAACTATCTAGAAGCACAAACATAGACTGGTTGCCAAAGGTTATCCACAGAAGTCAGAAATTGACTTCAATGAAACATTTGCACCAGTTGCTAGATTGGACACAATTGGAACTCTAATTGCTCTTGCTTCTCAAAGAAATTGAAAATTCTATCAATTGGATGTAAAGTCTGCATTCTTAAATGGAATACTACGAGAAGAGGTCTATGTGGATCAACCTAAAGGTCATGTGAAATCAAGAGCTGAGAATAAGGTATACAAGCTCATAAAGGCTCTTTACGGATTGAATAAAGCTCTAAGAGCCTGGTATGATGAATTAAATTCTTACTTGCTGAGTTGTGGTTTTCACAGAAGTGCAAGTGAGACTACACATGTCAAATTCAAAAATGAAGAATTATTGATAATGTCAATATATGTTGATGATATTATATACACTGGTAATAATTGTAAGTTGATAAAAGAGTTCAAGAATGAGATGATGACCAAGTATGAGATGACCGATATTGGTCCTCTATCATTTTCTTGGAATGGAAATCATTCAAACTGAGCGTAGCATCTTAACAAAATGCAGTATGCTACTGTACCCTTGGACAAGTTTGGTCTAAAGGATTGCAAACCTGTCAATATTCCCTTGGCAGTGAATGCGAAACTCAAAGAGGGAAGATGGTAATGAAGCTGCAAATGAAGCATTATAGACAAATGGTTGGGAGTTTGTTGTATTTGACTGCTACAAGACCAGATATTGTGTTTGCAGCTAACTTACTCTCAAGATTTATACATAGTTCTACAAAGAAACACTTTGGCATAGCCAAGAGAGTGCTAAGGTACATACAAGGAAGATTGGCTTATAGAATTGAGTATGAAAAAGGCAATGAGGCAAAAATAACTGGCTAGTGTAACAATGACTGGAGTGGAGATGAGAATGACGTAAAAAGCATATCAGGCTTTCTCATTTGGTAGTGGTATTTTCTCATAGGCATTAGAAAAACAACACGTTGTGGCACTCTCCATTGCAGAAGCTGAGTATGTGAGTGCATCAAAAGCTACAACTCAAGCAATTTGCCTTAGGATTGTCTTAGAAGATTTTGATGAGTTGCAAACTGAATTAAGACCTTTGTATTGTGACAACACCTCTGCCATAGCCATGACAAATCCAATGTTTCATTAGAGGTCCAAGCATATCAACAAAATATATCATTTCATTAGGGAAGCTCTACAGAACAATGTGATCAATTTAGTGTACTGCAAATATGAGGAACAACTTGCAGACATATTCACTAAAGTTTTTGCCTAAAGACAGGTTCAATTATCTCAAAGGAATGCTTGGAGTAAAGCCAGCAATAACCTTAGAAAGGAGTGTTCCAGAATAAGGATGTTGCTGATAATCAAGGGAGCTGGATTGCATCATAGTGCGTTCAAAATCCATTTCAGTGTTCTTGGTTTGAAGTTTATAAATCAAGTGAAATAGACGGCTAGGATTAAAACATCTAAATGACGAAGAGTGTGCCATATGCCTTAGTTTTTTTATGTTTTTAATCCCTTCCCGAACCAAACGTGAACCTTTTGATTCATTTGGCTCTCATCCTCAATTTATTGAATTCCTTTTCAGAATTCAAGTATTCTTTTTTAATGTAAAATGTTTGCACCGTGAGCTGCACGTGAGCTAGCTTACACGGCTCAAGCACGTGAGCTCTAATGGTTATTTTTTGTCCTTTGCATCCCTTCACAACAGGTGTGGGGTTGTGATTCAATGCTTTTGTAATCGAATCCAAGGAAATAGAGAGAGCAACGTACTCTCCATTTTTTATTTCTGAGCTCCATTGTTCTTCTTGCTGTTGTTCATATTTTTCCAGAAAACTCATACACAAAACCAAACAAAATACAGAAAACATCAAACGACAGGTTATTGGATTCATCATGGGGCTAATCTTCTGTCCTGGTGCTCGAAGAAACAGCCTACTGTCTCTAAATCCAGTGCGGAGTCAGAATATAGGGCCCTTTCCCATGCTTGTGCCGAGACGACATGGCTCTCCTATTTATTCCATTAGTTGGTATTCCTACACCATTTCCCATTCACTAATACTGTGATAATTTTACTACATATATGACCGCAAATCTGATTTTTCATGCTCGCACTCGGCATGTCTAACTGGATTACCACTTCGTTCGTGAGCGTGTGGCCTTAGGAAGCCATCATGTTCGTTTTCTGCCTTCTGTTGATCTACCAATAGACCTGCTAAAGGTTTGCGCAAGCATGGGCACGTCCACCTTCGGTTCGATGCCCAGTTTGTGGGGGGTGTTAACCAAGAGAACAAGTCAACGTGAAAGTTCTACAAAGTGGTTTGGGAGTGAGGTGCTTAAAAAAAAAACACCCATGAAAAAAAACTGTGAGGGTTTTAGGTGTTTGGTAAACTTAAAAAAAATGACTTATTTTGGAAGCTGATATGAGAATAAGTTGAAATCAAAGAAAAAAGTTGAAGCTACTATTTGCAGCTTTGGAAAACTGGCTTTTTTTCAAAGCACACGGAGTTACAGTGCTCCTTTAATGAAAAGACCCACTATCAAACTATTTTTTTTTTCCAAAAGCACTTTTACAAAAAAGTTTACCAAAGTCTCTGCTGCTTTATTTCACAGCCGCTTATTCTCACAGCACAGCCACTTATTCTCACAGCAACTTTTTTTCAAAGCACAACAATACCAAACCAACCATACTTCTTATCTTAGAACTCAGATTTAAATGCAAATGTTGATAAGTTAGTTTGAGTTGTATATCTCTTTGTACAGGACTCCTGTGCATTTGTAATATTTATATACGTACGGTGAAATCGATGAAGAAAAGCTAAGCTTTCCACAAATTATTTCTTCGCTGTTATCGCACCTTTCCTCTGCAGTTGCTACTCTACACGTAGCGACAAAAGTCAGATCAAATTAGTTGTCTGTGGCCCTATGATAATTTTGACCTCTCTATTATCCCTGGGTGAAATAATAATACAAGTAAGCACGACTACTTCCTTAAAAACTTGTCAAATGTTTCTCATGATGCCGCCGTAAGTATACTTAATTAATTCACTGGTCGTTGGAAATTTAAAACAGCCTAATCGAGCTGGAGCTGGCAACATAGTAATCTGTTGACCGGAAAATTAACCACCTAGCTAGCTTATTGGGTTTATATTATATATATATATGTATGTATGCATAAAGAAAACAAGTCCATATCAAGTATATACTATGTATAGACGACCAAGTCTATATGCAATATATATATATATATATATACACGACCAAAGCTGGCGTTTTAGAATATCTTCACTTTTCTCACTCTATACATTGCATCTTCTGGGTAGAGAAGCCAGCTAATATTAGTGAAGAATTAAACGCATTTCCTAAATCACAGAACTCTTCGGAGAGCGATATCCGAATAAAGAGAGAATCGGGCAACCAATCTCCGATGAGTGAAAACGCATCTCCTAAATCACAAAACTCTTTGGAGATCGATCTCCAAATAAAGTGAGTAAAGGGCGATCAATCTCTGAAGAGTGAAAAGGGAGATCAGGGACCTTTTTGTACTTGTATTCAAGGGAGATCAGGGACCCTTTTTTTCTTGTATTCCTTTTTTGTTGTTCTTCTAATATTTGTTTGTATATATTCATATGACACATCATGAGATGATAGGTAAATAGAAGCAGCATGGCGAAGCCTTTTTCTCTACCTTCTCTGTGCAATTTTGTACAGCCATCTACGATCAAGAGCCGCTGTAGTACTCGTCTTCATATGACCATGCAAGTAAAAGCTCAGAGCTTAGATGAAGGTAAACTTTCAAATTCTCGATCCCCAGTTTTGTTAATGATTCCGGATACATATGTGCGCAGGACGAACTTTCATTGCCTTAATTCAGTTTCATATTTTCCAGTTTCCTTCCGGAATATACTGTCGAGTAGTTTTAGCAATAGTCTACACAAGAACAAACAAATCAAAGTATTCCTTTATTGTTTATAATTTATTATTTAGTTTTTGATTAATACACAGCGTATACATAAAATTAGTTCCAATTGGACAACTTGGTTTGATACCATGAGGAAGTTGAAGCTCATAAATTCAATTGGCAACATGAGGAGTAGTCTATCTAACTTATAAACATGTAAAGTCCTTCCTTTCCCCAATAGGATTTACTCTTAACAGAATACCTAGTTTCCAATAATGCTTATGAACATATTATAGTGGTACACTTGTAACTAGCTTCCAATTATATATTCAAAAACGTGAGCTTGCACGTGTTATATGTTTGATTCTTGTTATTATCTGCAGGTAGATCAAGGAATATTGTGGATTCAAATTTGAGCGTTTTAAGAGAGAAGATGGCAGTCGTTAAGATGAGGGAGAGACTTGAGAAATATTGCTGCAAACATCAACAAAATGGATGGAATTATTCACCGGGATATAATTACAAACTCAGAAGAGCAAGAGAGGTATCGACGTTCTTTGAGCTCATACGTTTGGTGGGCGTGACTCTTGGTTTTACCTGTTTTACTGCTACATTCTTCCTTGTCCTTGTATCAATCTTGGTTCGTTTGAATCAATGGTAATGCTATATGTATGGATGAACGTCTGTCTTTATAATAAAAAATGTGTACATCTCTTTCCCTCCCTTTAATGGGTAGACAACTTATTTATTTGTCATACAAAAATTATCGTTCATGAAAACTTAAACTTTTAAGAAAGCAGAGACTCAATGTTGCTAAACGAACTTAAACTTTTAAGAAAGCAAAGGCCCAGTGTTGCTTAACTAAATGACTATTGACTTGGGTAACCAGTTGAAATTTATTTAAAAAAGAGTAATACTAGGGAGACTCAAGGTTCTAAAAGACAAATGGCGTTAGTCGGGTGGTGGGCTAGGGGCTAGCGCCTAGCGCCTAGGCAGCTAAGCTAGGCCAGGCAGGATCTAGGAGGCCGCCTAGGCAGACTAGTCAAATTTAAGTAAATATATTATATTTTGTGTAAATAAATGTTTGTTTATACTTAAAATATATATAATTTCATCATAAACTACAAAATAGAATGACATAGATATTATGAAATATTGGAACATAATGAAAACATGGGGAACAAGCATATAATGTGTGTTCATTTAAGTATTCAACAAGTCTCTTACAGTTTATTGAAAAAAATAAAATACAAAATGAAAGTTATCTATTTGCCTAAGTGAGTCGCAACCTAGGCGGGTGCTTAGGTGGTCTAGACGGGCGCCTTAGTAGGTTTAGGCGCTATTTCTTAATTTTCAAATGCCTGGGCATTAATTGGGGCAGTGGTCAGTAGCCTAGCACCATGCGAGGCATCAACGGCACTAGGAGGGGATTTTTAAAACAGTGGGGAGACCACAAATTTATATCACATTTAAGGTACTACATCATGTGACAAGTGATGCACACAATGAACATCTAATGAGATAAATTTATTAATGAGCATGTCATGTATACATCACTTGGCAATGGTACACAAATAGTATGAAATGCAGTCTCCCAAACAAAGAGCAATTAAATTAAAACTTACTAATTTAATTTAATTAGTATAGCTTGCTTTTAGAAGAAAAACAAGCTAAAAATTTCTTTAGGAATACTAGATGATATTTTATTTAGAAATTTTATTCGAACCATGTTTTGTATTTTTGGCCTCAACTTACTTTCTACACCCTAACTCTATTTGATTTATCAATCTATCATTATCTCTTTATAACCAATAAAGTAGAACATTTATATAGTAATACTCTATAAAGTAATAACTTACTCATAGTCATAAGAAATTATGGTCCCAATTTGGGCCAATTATGTACAGGACTGGATCCATGGGACTACTTTTTTACTCAACTTTTGATACACATTTTTATGGGGTCTACTCCCAGATTGTATTTCAACAATCTGAACGTCTATCTTGTAGAACATCTTTCATAGATCATCCTTGCAAAAAATTAGACAAATCCAAAACCATTAAGACATTCATTTGTAGTGGAAAGAAATTGACGAATACAGTTTTACAAAGAAACCCTAAACCATTAGTCCAACGGTAATATGGCTTTGTACTTTGAATTTAACAAAATCAAGGCTTTATCTTCATCCTTGACATCTTCATCTAAATTTAACAAATCAATAATTAATTTGTTAAATGAATCAAGATGTGTAATCATTTTTGTACCTTCTTTGTACTGGAATTGGTAAAACTGCTTTTTCAAATGGAGGCGATTTTTTATGCTCTTTGTCATGTACTTGTCCTCCAATTTCTACCATAGCGACTTAGCTAACATTTCTCGCATGACAAAATACTTTTGAGGTTTTGCAAGACATAAGCGAATCATAGAGCAAGTCATTCGATTTAACTTATTCCACTCAGCTTCTTCCATATCCTCCAGCTTGTCTTCTAACGTTAGATCCAAATCTTGTTGAGCCAACACATCTTTAACCTCACATTGCCACATACCAAAGTTATTTGTTCCATCAAACTTTTTAACTTCAAACTTTGCATTTTGAACTGTCATCTTTGCCAAATGTGAAGCCTGAAAGGATGCGTGCCTCCCGATTCTGATTGAACACCCATCTTCGTCAAGCAGGTTTCAAATACAAATTTTGATACGGATGAGCCTAGTGGCTCTGATACCAATTGATGTGCTAGAGCACGAAATGAAACAAATAAAATGAAAGAAATAACTCTCAATTTATTAACTGATTAAGATGACAAATGTACAAAGAGAATTTCAGAAATTGGCTCACCCAAACTTTTTCTACATGAGCTCCTTTTATTACAAAACAAATGGTTTCCCTTCTAATATGTAAAGCCATAAACAAGTTTGTGATGGAGAGAAAAACAAGGATAACCAATACAAAGTAATTGATCAAGGTTTATATTGAGCCACATATCAACATATTTCACAAGATCAATCAATTATACAAAGAGCTATGTATAATGATATTGGAAATTATATATTATAATATGAAATGTTGTAATATATAATTTTAATAATTGAATGAAAAATAGTGTTAATCGAATTTCTTAGAAAGGCTATGTTATTTAGGTACATTCTCTTGCTAAATGATGTCTACTTAATGAAAAGTTACATCCCTTTAATAAGCAGTACTTGGGTTCTATATAAACCCATGAAACCATTGGCGTTAAGGAGTGGGAAATTAGAGTTAATTCTTATCCATGATAAATAGGATTTCCCCACTCTGTTTATCTTATTCTTGTTTGTCAAACTCCAAGTTGTGTTTTTAAAGTGCAGAATATAAGTTTGCCAAAGTCCAAAGATTGCTGTGCTTAGACTTCAGATTATAGATTGTTGAATCCTGAGAGACGGAAGTCTACCAAACTATAAGCACAAGGGTAAGGGCGAAATTCTGTCTTTAGGACATTGCATTTATAAAAGCCTAAATCTCCAAGTTTGGTAGTTTTTCTTTCTCCCTAGTTGTTTATATTAATCTCATACATAATTGATGTTATGATTTTTTTTTTATGATTATTATCATTGGAATTCTTGTATTATTTTCATATTTTCTAATTGCTCTAACAATTGAATCTAAGTAAGTTGGACCATGAATGAATTTGACCTACTCAACTAATAATATGTTCTTCTCTCACATACATACATTTCAGTTCCTTAAAACTAACCTTATCACAATACACAATTTTCATTTTCATTTTCATCCTGTTTATGGTTTTGCTCTTACACGAACTAATTGATTGTTTCTTACTGTAATATGTAATTTTGGTTACAAATTAGGGTTTAGTTATTGTAAAAGGAGTGGAGTTGGAAGGGTGCACTGATAAATTTTGATTTTAATTGCATATTGTCCTTTGCAGTAATTGTATCATATAGAGTAGAAAAGACAACTTACATCCAAAGCATTTATCTAGGAGTGGAGTTGGTATGGATTTGAATAAAAATTTCCTATTTCATTTTCTCCATAGCATTTATCTAGGCGTACATTAGGTCTTACATGTGTGTACTAGAAAAGACAAGCGTTAAGTTTACAAGAAATTCAACTGTACAAATCCCGAGTATCTACATTTAGAAGTTGTGCAATTACCCGCATTTCAGCTTGAATTATGATGATCAGCATGACGATCATACATCTTTAATGTGCCTATCAATTATGAAGAAGAAACTGCTCAAGAAGAGTGTGAAGAGGAAGCTGCTCAAGAAGATGACATACCCTTGGTTCTCAAGATCCTCCTCAGCCACTTAAGCTAGGTAGGTAAGGGCATGGCACTTTGAAATGTACTATAGGCAAGCAGGAAGACCATAATACAATGACCCATTATAGACATCTTCCTCAAAAGACAAACATGTACCATTTTGTACTTTCATTAGTGTTTGTTTTTTTTTAATTGCACTTATCCGAATTGTTTTAATCCTTTTAATTGGTTTGTAGGCATCCACATCTGCCCAAAAAAGATAGTCAACATCAACAAATCCACCAGAAGCGCACCTAGAAAGAGAACAAAGAAATCAAGGGTAAGAACCTCATCATCTCCTTTTGAATATGCTAAAACACACCCTTAGTTTACCTCTTATTGTTGTAATCAATATTAGATTTAGGCATCACATCCAAGCACATCATCTGCAAATCTAGGAGCTGAATCATCCAGAGGAACCATGTAGCCAAAAATGAGGCAAACCAATACCTTGGGCATCTGGAAATAGTTTTTTTTTTTTTTTCATAAATAGTTGTATTTTGTAAAGTTAACTGAATTCTAATGTTGGAAGCATTGTGAATTGCTGATGTAGGAACTGTCTTTTGTAGTATTTGTATTTTGGGGTGTAGGTGCTGGATGATTTTAGTAGGCTTTTTGAACCATTGCAATGGTGCATTTATGGATAATTTGGCAGGTTTTCTGCATTTTCAATGACAGTTAATATTTTGGTCTTTGGAAATGTTTTGGGTAGTTAATGTTTGATGTTTTTATTAGTTCATGTTGTGGTTAGATCATGTTTATTTATAGGGAACTATGGATTGGAACTTTAACAAAAAGCTCCCAGTATTGTTCACTTTAACGAAAAACCACATTTTTACACTAAAAAATCAATCCTGGTACTATTCACTTTACCCTTTATTTTGTCCTTATCATTAAAACTAAAAGTTTTCAAGTCCTTTTCATTAGTTTTTGCATGGATTTTTTTCAATTTTGTGGTGAAGGTTGAAATTTTGGCTTCCAGTTTGTGGCTTCCTTTCTGCAATTTATAGGTTCAAAATTTCGGGATCCTCTGGATCCTTCTTCTTTAAAGGCCGAGTTGGCGTTATGCTTCCCTGGAGTTTCTCGATAAACAAACAAAAAAATAGTTAAGAAGAAAGGATTATTGTAGAAGAATTGAAGGAGATGAGGAAGCAAAGGAAAAAATGCAGAGAAAAAAGAAGAAGAAGGATCTGGACGGATTAGGTCTGGAAAGGATCCTCTCCTCAAAATTTCATGGGAAATACCTAGAAATAGGACAATTTCTTAATCTTGGGATAGAAATAAGACATTTCGACTATGCATAGGCATGCAAACGTCATGCACAACAATCGGACATAAATATGATTTTTCCTACACCTTGAAATGACCAAATTGTCCTCCCATATAAATGGGTTATTCAGAAATTCCATCCCTCATTTCTCATTTTGTAGAGAGAGAAAATCTCTCTCGCCCAATTCCAGTTCGAAGAACCTTAACCCACCCATCTTCTTCATCCAAGGGCTTTCTCTCTTACTCACTCATCTTCTTCATCCAAGCTCTATCTCTCTTTCTCTCTCTTTCTCTCTCTCTCTCTCTCTCTCTCTCTCTCTCTCTCTCTCTCTCTCTCTCTCTCTACATTTCAAATATGCACAAGAGCTCTCTCTCTAACCCACCCATCTTCTTCAATTTTACCTTTTCATTTGTAGGTTTTTTGAACTGGGTTTGCTTAATTTTGCTTTTTGATTGATGGATTTTTGGAGTTGAAGTGATTGGCTTGGTGTTTCTTGGAGGAAACCCAAATCCTTCAATTTTTATTTTTTATTTTTTATCATTTCTTTGATTTATATGTGAGTTTTCATTTCTTCTGTCGTCTCCCTCCCTCCACTCCCTCTCTCGATACAAATTTACAAGCACTAAAATAGGGTTTGGCTTTTGTTGCAATTAAATAAAAAAACATATTAAAGGTCAATTGCCTTTTGAAGAAGAGATAAATTTGAGAGAAAAGGGAGAAATCATAGTGGAAACAAAGAAGAGAGAAGGATATGGACGAAATTGTTTCGCGTACTCGTTCACTCTCTTCATATTAAGCTCGCTCATTGTATGTACACGACATGCACATGACAATTGACATGCACATGTTATGCTCACATATCTGAGCTCAACCCAAAAATCCATAGCTCACAGCTCTCTCTTGAAATCAGAAAAATGACACAATCAGATAAATAACCCTAAACTTTAAATGAAGAATCGCAGATTCATTAATTTGAATTTGGTATCAAATTTGATTGGGTTGAAATATTTCAAGGATTTGAAAATTGTAGTTTGAATGGGCACGAAAGAACCCAAATGAATCAAAGGAAATTGTTTCATGAACTCATTCGCTTTTTTCATATTTGCAAGGCATGCATCTGATCAAAGGAAAAAGTAGTAAACTACGTTAATGCGAAGAGTATCAAAGATGTAAATACGCACCATATACTCTATATGTAAACCACATGCATATAATATGTACAGTACATGGACATGACATGCACATAATAGGAGAAACTTTAATGGCAACATATTGGTATAGTGGATACAATTAAAACATAATTTTTACGTATATAAGGTTACAATGACAGTTTGAAAAGTCTCGTTACGTATATCAACTACCACTTAACCGTGCATGTGGAAAACATGATATCGATACTCGTTGTCGTTATTTCATTGACACACATGATCAGGATGTTGTCGAGTGTGCTAAGGATGCCGAAGTGGCGTTGACGGCTCATCTTCGCTCGGCTGCTGAAAATATCGAGTGGTTCGCTGAACTTGCCATTTTGAAGGGGTTTGATGTCTCTGCCCCTACTTCTATTAAGCTGGAGACCGCTCATCAGGAACTTGTCCACTTGAAGGCTAAGCTTAGTACAACTCAGGCGATGTTAGAAGCTGCAAAGAATGAAGTCAATTGTGTTTCACCGGTGATAAATGACCTTGAGCATGTCAATTCGAAGTTACGAAGAGCTTGTCTTCATGCATGCTGAAGTGTCTCGTCTGAAGGATGTTGCCAGTAAGCTTGAGTCCAAAGAAATAAA